GTGACTCAGGGTGATTTGAACATTGGTGTGCCTTGATCATCCCCAATCCACAGGCAATACCAGAGAAGAACAGATGTCAACCATAAAGTAATAGTGAACGCAATTCACTTGATCAACTGGACGCCAGAATTGCAAATTAAAACGATGCAATTATCTTCGCAACTGAGAAACACTTCCTGCTAGTGATTCGTACTTTGTTGGACCGTTCAATTGCCATAGCTTTTTGTTGTTTTCAGGGACCATTCACCAGGACACATTATTCTTGGTCTGTACATACACAATTGGAGTATTCTGTCAAAGTTACCGAGGAAGTGAGAGGAGCCAGGTACCAAGTTCCTGTTGGTAAGCTATCGACTTTACGCCCTATTCTCCTCTTCGGTTGTATCATTTGTACATTAAACCACTTAACCATAAGGGTGCAAAACACCAGATCGCTAGCCCGCAATCGTATAACGAGGTCTACAGGTGGGCAGAATCTATCCTGCGCAGAAAGATGGTCGCAACAGCACCTCCACCGCCTAAGATCCCCATGGCAGTGTCACACCAGGCACAGCTTTTGTCAAAACCAGTAAGCCCCTGTAGTTCGGGTGACAGTAGCGCATCCCCGAACATACCGCCGGTAAAAAATTAAGCACAGGGGAAACGTGCCACGCCTGACTTCACCTTACAAAAAGCGAGCCGCCCAGTCGTCAACAAAGTGCGGCCTCTGATGACTGTGGTGTTTGCAACAAATAGGTGTCAGAGGCTCAAAAAGCTCTTGCGTGCAACATCTGTCCTAGATGGGTACACTGTAACTATGATGATGGTTTACCAGGGTGGTACTACGGCTTTACGAGGAAGTACCCATGTGGATGGATGTGGTACATACGCCCAGAGTGTCGGAAATCACCTGCCATCATCACTGGCAAACTGCGAAACCTGGAACAGCCAAACACGTTACAAGGCACGAGCTCCAATAATCTTCCCTCGTGGACTAGCCATGCTCCGCAAGTGTGCGAAAGCGTCGCCCCTAAAGATGGGAAGAAATTGGCCCCCACTCTAAGTGCGGCACCAAAAATGTCCTCGATTGTATCGCTGCTACCCATGCGATCCAAAAGAGCTGAACATCCTGAGGAAATAGGCTTTGCTGAGAACGAGTGAACGGAGGTGAACATGGTAAGGGGTAGGCCGAAGGAACTGGCTGCCAAGCTCGATATTCCGCATCCACAGGATGAGAGAGCGGAATTAAATCATTCTGTTCAACTTTCCTATGCCAACGGACTCATGTTTGGAAAAAAGAGAACAGTCTAACAAGGAGAAGTGGGGTGACTACTGCAGAAAGATGGGAATAGAAACCATCACAGCTGACTGATGCTGGCTCTCCCGAGGAAGCAGAGTGCCTTGAGACAAGCCACCTTCTTCCTAGGGTATCAACAATGGCAGCGAAACAGTAGGAGAACATACTGCTACTGCCGCACCTACCAGACATTGCGGGCTCCTGTCCCATAAGGGTGAAACCAAACAGACCTTGGGTCACCGGAAGGGCAGACAGAAAGTCCTCGCCTAATGGCCTGCACAAAGCTGCAACCATGGTAGTTCATGGCGTACCCGAACTGGCGGGTGGCTCCACAAAGTGTGATAATTACCTCCAAGATGTTGGGCAGTGGAGTTGGCCAGCGGCAAAAATGGGACTTGGAACCTTGCCTGCCAGTAGCGTAAGTAGGTTACCAAGACCTACGCACTTGCAGAGTGTTTCCTCACCAAGACTGTACGCTTTGACTGCAAGGCATCACTAACAGAAGCTCTCACGGCATGGACTGGCAGTCAGAATCCGATGCAACAGCACACTAGCCTGCAGACAAGTTCCTATATCTCACAAAGCCCAGAATGTAGCTGCCTGGCATGCTTCTACAGCAGTGTAAGAGGTCTTAGGAGGAAACCACTGAGGCTAAAAACAATATCCCAAGATCTGCAAGCAGACATAATTCTCATCATGGAGACATGGCCATCATCAAACTTCGTGGATGAGGAAATATCTTTGCCTAACATGACCCTGTCCTGAACAAACAGGCAATTAGAAGAAGGCAGAGGGGTTGCCATGCGCATTAGCGCCCACCTAAAAGTCAAGGAAGTGACTGATGGTGTGTGCAGCCTACCATCAGACTCCTTATGGCGTTACCTCGCGATAAACCAAACTAAGTACCCATTAAAAGTGATACATAAGGCTCCCCTTTGCACGAGAGAGTGTAAGGCACAGTTGCTGAGTGCCACCTCAACAACCACCTCGACAGCCTGTGACCACGTAGTGCTAGCTGGTGGCTTTAACACACCGGTACTCAACCCGGGATGTGGGGTAAGATGTGGGCATAAATCTGTCGAACACGGACTTCGAAATACGTTTATGGCAGCAGGACTGATACAGAAGTTTGAGGAAAACACCGGGTAGGGACCAGATGGAAAAGGATCACCACTCGACCATGCTCTAACAGGTGACGATCTTTTGGTGGACCATATCTGTTCCCCCCCTAGTTAAAAGCGACCACGCCTTGGTGAGATTCTCTGTGATAACCAAGGAGGCACCACCAGTGGTTGGGCCAGAAGCTTTCCGCCGTTACCAAAAAGCGGACCACCATCTCATGAACAACGAATTCCTGGAGGCTGCATGGCCACAAGCATGGTACTGGCGATCGGCAGACGAACACTGGATACATACTGAAGATATTTTCTTGAGCGCTACCGACAAATGTTCCAAAATCAACGAGACGGCCACCTCTCGGATGGTCTTGGGTCACTCGCGCAACCCGAAGGCAAATACGGAGGAAAAAGAGGGCGTAGTACTGGTGGCGTGCATCACACAAAGAGTCAGATTATCATGGCTACAACACGTTACGCAACTTATGTAATATAAGAACTCGTAGTGACAGATATATATACCAGAACAACCTGGCTAAACAGTTAAGTTGTAATCGGAAAAGTCTGTATCGGTTTATGTCAAAACACAAACCGACAAATGAAGGTTTAAACCCGATCACAGGGCCGGTGGGAGGACTTCTGGACAAAGGTGAGATAGCGAAACTTTTGAGCAGCCGATTTGATGAGCAACTCAAACCAGTAATACATCCACTATCGACGTCTTGTGAAGCGATGGGGTCTTGGGACCGCGATACAAAGCCGATGAACGTAAAGATTTCGTCAAACCAAGCGTTTGCGAAACTCAACACTGAAGGTAGGGAAATTACCAGACTGTGGTGACATAAGACCGGTGGTCCTGCGCAACTGTGCCGAAGTGCTAAGCATACCCATATGCAACCTGTTCACGTGCTCGTTGGAAGTAGGTCAACTCCCCAAAGAATGGAAACGCGCCATCCTTTCACCAATCTTCAAGGAAGGAGACCGAAAAAACCGTGCAACTACAGACCAGCAGTATTATTCACCATGCGTTCCAAGGTACTGGAAAGCCTGGTTGCAGATGTTGCTAGGGGCTACCTGAACGGAAACAACATCGTCTATCCTACCTGGCATGACTTCAGGACCGAGCGGTCATGTGCCACAAGCTTGATGACGGCTTACGATGACTGGACCGCCGCGTGGGACAACAAACAACCAGTCCACGTTATCTTTCTGGACTTGGCCAAAGCTTTTGGTAGCGTCCCACACTGTACCATGCTCTACAAGCTTGGTACAGTGGGCATCACTGAACCACTCTTAGCATGGTTCAAAGCATACCTAGGGGCATTCTGCACCAAAGTAAACAGAATTTGATTAACCTGTAGGGATGCAAGAACAAGGGTTTCACGAAGGGCCATCCTTGAGCCACTCCGGTTTTTACTATTCATAAATGACCTTCCCATTAGAATCTCCTCATCTATCCTCCTATTCGACATCAAAATATGGAGGATGGTAGGTGACGAAGAGGACCCCAGGATACTCCAAAACTAACTGTCGCAGCTGGAGTCCTGGTCAGCTGCGAACGGTTTAAGCTTTGACCTAGAAAAACGCAAGGCTATGTATCTTCGCACACCAGAGGCGATGAAATTCAGCTACAGTGTTAACAGGTATGCATTCACCAAGGTATCAACAGAGAAGGACCCAAGACTAAACTTTTCTGACACGCTGAACACTACAGTCAATTATAAGGGAACGGGAGCGAAGGCGAACGCCACTATGCACTTTCTAAGAGGGCAGCTTGGATCGTCGACCCCAGAATTATTCCTAATGGTATTTAAGACCTATGTTAGACCATACCTAGAGGCGTTCAACGCGGCAGCCCCCACTACTAGAGAGACGCAAGTACCGTCGAGAAGGTATAGAGAGGAGAGACAAGTTCGGTTGTCAGATTAACAGGTGAAGCATATGCGCAACGCCTCAGACAACTCAACTTGTTCATACTAGGCTGTCGAAGAAAACGAGGCCATCTGATAACAGCCTACGAGATTATCCACCAAGTAGACCACTCAAATAGGAAAACGTTGTCAGTCCAAAACCGACAGTCCCATGAGAACCCCACATGCATAACCCACCATAGGGCAAGGACGAGAGTGAGATCTAACTTCTACCACAGAGTATTCGCCTTATGGAGCGCTTTGGCGAAGGAAGTGGCCACAGCAACGTCAGTCAACTTCAGACGACTACTGGATGAGTATGTGAGCGCAAATGGCTTACCACGAATATTTGCCGGTAGCAACTGATGATACGCCCCTCCATCCCTGTATTCCCCAACCCTAGCATCTGCAATAAGACACGTCTCCCCTCCATATTATTACCAGTGAAACTTATCTTTTCACAAGTACTTATCACTCCTCTCTTTCTCATTCCTCGCCCACCCCATTTCTAGCACTTTTTAAGTAACGCTTAATACTTACTTGCAGGTGCCTACAACAGCAGGAAATACAAACGATTGGTTTATCTCATCAGCAGCTCCGCTGTTTCCCCAAGACAAACCAAGCTAGAATTTTTAAAAAAATACCCTGAAGTTTAAAGTTTGAAATAGATAATCACTGCCTCAAGAGCTATAAGCAGGAAAATGTTAAGACTTCTGCTACCATCGAAGGAGTACAGCCAAACAAAAAGAACCTAGCCTCAAGACCAAGAAGTGAGAGCTCAAAAACTACAAGTTTCCTCTGTTCGCACTATTAATGTTGGATGCTAGATGTTGAGGTCATTAAGCGTATGTAGCTTGCGCACTGTTCAACCTACTGCAACCTGCACATCCACTCTATGGACTTTGTATTAATTCATGGGTTTATCTTTCAGTACTTGAAAAATAACTCAGAATTTCGTTTAGTAAGGCGCTGGGCTTACGTTAAATTAGATAGCCTATTTATATTCCCAGGTAAACTAGTGAAACTTCATTTGAATCTGCTGCAGACCACTTCAACCGCAGCAGCTGCCTTAAAGTTTTCCTCAAACATTCAGATGTTTCTGTTTCATATCCACACAATGATACCCCTTGGATCACAGTATGAAAATATTATTTTATGGATTGGTTTAGATCACAGAATATTCTGGAGCTGTACATTACCTTAAACCGGAAGTAGAGCAAGCTTTCCAAACCTGGTTGACAGTCATTTACAAAGCATCTAAAAAGTATTTTATCAAACTGATTTCATCATCTAAAAACTTAAAGTGAAACAGATTTAGTGAAACATGATCAGGAATACGGGTTACATCGAACTAGTCAGCAGATGATGATCCCAATGGTAAGTGTGTTTTATCCCACAATACCGCTTCCACTCATTTTTGAATTTGTGTTTTATTCACACACAACTCTTCATACCTTTTTATACTAAGCAAAGTTATTAAACTACTGTTTTACTTTCAGCAGACACTGGGCACTTTGAAGTTCATGGAACCTTGGGATGCCTCTGTAGACTAATATAACATTCACAGTAGATTTTTAAGTTGTTTTAAAGGAAGTACACCTTGAGCTTTTTTCTCAAAAATACCAGAGTGCGCTCGAGCGCTTACTGAAAAAAAATATTGTAGTATCCTTCTACCTGCTCACGTTTTCAGGTTCAGATTTGTTTGAGGATAGGAGGTTGAGAGCCTGTATTAATCCTTTCCCAGTAGATTTCTGTGCTTGTCCAGTCCACTTTTGAACGAGTCAATTGATGGTGCGGACACCACTTCTCCTGGGAGTCGGTTCCAGGCTTTGATTACTCGGTGTGAGAACCAGTACTCTGCGGAGACTATGTTCGTTCTTAGAATCCTGCATAATATGATTAGGTCTCCCCTCTGTCTGCGATAGGACAAAGTGAAGAGGTTCAGCTCCTTGAGTCGATCTTCATAGGTGAGGCCAGCCATCGCAGGGATCATACGAGTGGTTGCCATCTGAATTCTTTCTAGAAGGTTTGCGTCACCTTTCAAACAAGAATTTGCCACTTGTGTACAGTTTTTTTAATTTAGACCTCACTAAGGATGTGTATAAGATGGTGAACATGTCACCACTTATTTTTGTAAACGGTCTACGTAGTGCCCAGTGTCCTGAAACCCCGAGCTTCTACTAATCGACATTGTGTGGTGATTTTCAAATCACAACTCACTCATTGTGGGTCAATACTGACGGTAGAAGAGTCCCACCAATATCGTAGGTGTTGCTGTATGTGTGCCCCAAGTGCGTGCTCACACATTTACCTGCATTGATAGGTATCAGTCACTTCTCCGACCAGATAAACAAGCTGTTTAGGTCTGCCTGGACGGCACATATATCCTCGTCGTTCCCGATTTCCCGACAGATTTCTACATCAGCGTAGAGAACCATAGACGAATTCGTGATATTTGGCAGCCCTTGTACGCATAGAAGAAACAACAGGGGACCCAGGACTGTGCCTTGCGACACTCTACTCTCTACCGCCTTCTAAGAGGAGAGTTGAGAATTGGTCCTTACTCTTTATATCCTACTAACGAGGAACTCTTATTCATGCAAACAGACTGCCAGTGATCTCAAAACTTTCCAGTTTCCCGAGCAACCTGGACTGAGGTACTTTGTCGAACGCCTTACTAAAGTCCATGAAAATGACATCTGCAGGTATCCTATAATCTTAAGACAACCCAACTTTCTCTGACTCTAAGGAGGTTTGTCAAACAAGAGAAATTTCTTCGAAAGCCATGCTGCGAACGAGACAATAGAGTGCTGCTCTCTAGGTCGACTGTGATGGCTTTCTTGATTACTCTTTCTAGGATTTTTACTACAGTACTAGCCAAACTTATCGGTCTTTAATTTGATGGGTGCTGGCCTAGAACCTGCCTTGTGGATAGGTGTTACTATGGCATCCTCCTACTCATAGGGGTGTGCCTTGACTGAGAGATTCTAAATATAGTAGTCAGTGGGCCGGTTACATAGAGTGCAAGCTGTCTGAGCAGCCTTGGGTGCAGTTCATCCGGTCTCATTGATTTTTCCCTGTCGAGATTACTTGATATCCAAAATACATCATTGCGATCGATATCCACAGAGTTTATTCTGTTGGATGTCAGTGCTTATACTGTTGGATAAGTGTCCACAGGAGATTTCTGTGTAAAGACCTCAGCAAAATATCCAGCCATAGCTCCTGCTTTTTCCCTATCGTCCTCAATCAAACAGTCAGTTTGTCTCATTGATTAGGGCGGGTATACCACGATACATCTTATTTCTATAGTTCTCATAGGAAAATAACCTCTTCGGATATTGCAATGCAGCCTGGGCAAGACACGTTTCAAAGTATATTCAAGACCGGCGGATAGCAGCGATACATGTATTGCGGGCTTCTTTGTAATGCTTCATCACTTCGGGTGTACCGAGGTGGGTGCCAAGACTAACACTTTTTCTTATGTCATAGCAAGATTCGGATTATGTGGTGTATCCACGGAGGAAAATGTTTCCGTCCCCTCGGGACAGTCGATGGAATGAACGGTTGGGTCACTCGTGCAGGAGGAGCAGAAGGAGCACCACGCACCTTCAACTGAGGCTTCTGGATTGACTGTCCAGTCCTCCGAAGAGACTGCCAGGTTAATAGCTTCCATATTTGCTTTCCATACGTTGGGTCTAGCTGGGGCATCGGCCTGGTACAAGACGTCCGCTGTGAACCTGAAGATGATCACTTTTTCAAGGGGTGCTAGGTGCCGTACGAAGCACACATCATCTGTGTGTGAGAATAATAAGTCCAGAACTGATGGGGTTTACTGATGATTATATCTAGTTGGTGTCCTAATGTGCTGTATGAGGGCTAAGGAAATCGATGTTTCCACTAACCGGTGGTCAAACGAAATTCGTGGTGCTTTTGTTGTTAGTCTATCTCAGTCAACTGGTGGTGCCTTGAGATCTACAACTAGACATTGGCATTTATCTGTCCAGAGGATCAGATTATTCAAGAGGAAGTCTGCTGCCTCACATTCAGGGCTTCGATCTATCATGATTACGTTAACATCTTGCCCCTTGCATTTTAATCGGCAGCACAGTATTTCACATGTCCCACTGTCATGTGAAACTGTTTCTATGGCTTTTACAGTTAAGGTATTCTTAACGTAAGGGATGACACCACCACCTCTGCGTGCTAACCTGTCACTTCTAAAAGAGATGAATCCTCGTAAGTGTGTTTCACAGTTACTGATCCAAGAAGAGAGCCAAGTTTCCATGATAGCAATGATATCAGAACTTTCTTTGATTATCACATTACTAAGCCCAGTCCACTTGTTTAAGAGACTACGTGCATTTGTGTACAGGACAATAAAAATTCTTGAATGAGTTTCCGTCCTATCCATAGAGGCTTCGGCATCATTTGTTGCCGAAACCTCACTACACGAAAACCCGTTACTTTCAAATCTTGCTCTCCTGCTGCTAATCCGGATTTTCGCTCTGCTTCTGCTTTTCTTTTTTTGATCCCATCAACAAGAGCCAAATCCTTTCACACGAACACTCCAGATCCTTTAAGCCTATGAGCGTTCTTCATAATCTGATTCTTTTCATCTATTGACTTGAACACGACATATGTTCTGCATTTGTAGGATGTCGAGTACTTCACACAGCGTGCATTCTGCGGCCGACACAACTACATTTCATTCCCCGTATCTTGTTTGCTAGGACATTCACTCGTTCCCTTAGCATTTTACATATGGTGTGAAGACACTGAGGACATTTTCTTTCGGAGAAAATTTCATCATTCATCCAGATCAACCTTAGACCAAGCAATACTGCGGAACGCTCCGATATGCCACACCTCATATCAGTACGTCAAATAAAAAGACAGTGAGGCGCAAGATAAAGATAAGAAAATGCAGTCAAAAAAAGTGTAAAATATTAAAAGAGAAAAAGGAAGGATGAGGAAATGGTGAGATTCTGTATAGCATCGTTAAGATGAGGATAATGTGTGTGTATACATCTGCGCCACTGACATCGGTTCTCAGACATGATACATCACCTACAGTCAGTCTCCAACCACTACTTCCTCTTGTCTCGCCGACCCCAACCACCCAGTCTGCATCGCCCAACATCGCTCAAACCAACAGTCAAACACTTCATACATTGGCGCCGTGTTTTAGTCTGGCCACCTCAGGCCTTCTTCCGGCCTGAACCTACTTCAGCCAACATCCTGTGACGAGGCAATCGGTGACTACGCATACATAACACGTGTCCCAACCACCTCAATCGATGAAGGTTCACAACCTCGTCAACCGACTCACCTCTTCTCCCTCACTGAAAATCCACACCCGACTTCTGTGTTACTCACGTGGTGACACCACGCAATTGCAATACGGCTTATACTATGAAGGCAACGGTGGTCAAACACCTGAAGCCAGCCTTCTCATGTCTTCCACCTTCAATGGCCATGTTTCACATCCATAGAGTAGAACCGAGTGGAGTGCTGTGCAGGTGCGGTACACGCGACCGTTAATAGAAAATCGGATATGACGGCGGCGTGACAGGTGGCGTAAGTTGGCGAAAGCCAATCGAGCCTTTTTTATTCGTACAGAGATTTCATCGGCCAGTGAGCCACTAGGGCTGATCCTACTACTTCGCAGGTAGGTGAAGTGGTCGACACACTCAACCACTACACTGTCTATTGTTAGCCGCAGTGGTGCACCGTTGAAGACGAATCGTGGAGCAACAATTTGCATTAGGGTGGTGAGAAACACATGCCAAACATTCTGCAATTGCCACTCAGTGATTAGAAGACTCTGAATCTTGTCAGCGTCTTCACCTAACAGGACCATGTCATCTGCGTATTGTAGGTCTGATGAAAATTCTCTTGCGATTAGGTCGAATTCCGTGTGGTCATGTGATGAGAGGGAGACCTCCGTGTGAAAATCTGTGGTAAAAATCGAATAAGGATGGAGAGAGTGGGCACCGTTGATGGACACCATTCGATGAGGACAGCTCCCGGACATCTCAGTATAGGCTGTGAGACGTCCACGAGCGTTCAAATGGAGAGCCTTGAATAAGGTGATGCACTTACTCGGCACGCCTTTCAGTGAGAGATATTGTCATAGGACTTCTCGGTGAACGGCGTCGAATGCCCCCTTCAGGTCGAGAAATACAACTAGTGTCGGGCGTCGGTAAGCGTGTCTGTGTTCCAAGACCTGGTGGAGTGTGAACATTTGTTCGATGCACCCGCAACTGGGTCTAAAGCCTGCCTGGTTTTCTCGGGCTTGCTGTTCCCCAGCTCCACTCAGGCGTTGGAGAATTGTAGAACCCAGAATCTCAGACGCTGTGTTTATCAGGCTGATT